AAGTGTTTACTCACCAAACACTTCTACTTCATTAGGTAAGAATGGGGAGCTTGTGGCATTCTTTCCTAGGGTTTTCCTACTCCCATCCCTAGTTTATAGGACAATGACAGATAATGCAAATCCACAGGGTACAGTTTAATGCTGACAGTAAAGCAGCTAGAAATTTAACAGGGAGAATTTGAAAGCAAAAGAGTCATAGAAAGGTAATGAATAGGCAATTTCAAGAGAAGAAAGTATATAAAAGAACCAATTTGACTATAAAGAGTCAGCAAGAAGAAATTTTGAGAGTAACTGAACTGTACTATGTTATGATTGTTGTGGTAGTTAGCTTACTCTATGCCTTTGACAAAATTTAAAGATAGAGTAATATTTATTTTATATAAATTAAAAAATAAAAGAATCACATGAAAATTCTAAAGCTGAAATGAAAATTTCACCAAATGGGCTCATTAGATTTGAGAAAGCAGAGAGCAAAATCAGAATCAGTAAACTTAAGGATATATCAGTAGAAATTATCCAACCCAAAGAACAAAAATCTATTATAAAAATAAACAGAACCTCTGCTATCTGTGGAGCAATATTAAGCATTCCAGCGTATGTGTAGCTGGCATGCTAGAAAAGGGGGAGAGAAAGAGGCAAAAAAAATATTTGGAGAAATGTCTTAAAAATTAACACATTTCATGGAAAACATTAATTTACACTTCTAAGAAGCTCAACAAACCTCAGGGAGGATACCTAGACAACTAGTCATCTTGTTTTGGACATATTTCACAACACTGAAAGCACAAAGTCTAAAGTCTTGGAAGCTAATCCAACCTTAGAAAAGAGTATGACAATTCACTAAGACACAGAAAACAGGCTCACTCTATATCATAGTTATACAATGATAAAAAGGCAAGTACTGTTCAAGCTACTCTACATAGAGTCTTTGAAAAGAAATGACACATTTTCCATGTTTTAAATTGCAGAGTAGTAAACAGTTTTACTATATTTTCATCTCTCTGTACACAGTTATAATGACCAGTAAGATATAGTTTTTAATGTTTTGACAAAAAAGTTTAAAAGTCACAAAAAATTATAATTTTTCCTATTGATTATGAAGATTATTTTGCAGAGTTTTGGCTTCCATGGTAATTTTATGGTCCCTCATTATCATACAAAGTGAAAACTACCTGTACTTAAATGCTCATATTAGAAAGCAAAACCATTCTCAAGTCAATGACCTACGCTTCCACCTTAAGCAGCTAGAAAATTAACAAATCAAATCCCAAATAAGTAGAAGACAGGAAACATAAATATAGAAGGGAAATCAATGAAATAGAAAATGGGCAAATGGTAGAGAAAAATCAATGACATCAAACCCTGATTATTTAAAAAAATAATAAAATTGATGTGGTTTAGCTAGTGATTAGGAAAAAAAGAAGACATAAAGTAGCAGTATCAGGAATGAAAGAACATCTGTATACTAGATCCTACAGATATAAAAGAATAAGGGAATATTATAAAAAACTTTATATCGATGAATTTGACAATTTTGACAAAGCGGAAAAACTCTTTGAAAGACATGAATTACCAAAACCAACTCATGAAAAACTATATAATCTAAATAGATCCACATCAAGAAAAAAACTTAGTAAATAAAAATCTTCCCACAAAGAGAAGTCCAGACCTAGACTGATAAATTCTTTCAATGAAATAAATCATAATCACAAGTAGAACAGTTTTTTCTAAGTCTGTGAGTCCTTCTAGCAAATCGTCAAACCCGAGGGTGGTCCTGAAGACTCACAACACAACTAGCAAACCAATTCGAGCAACATATAAAAAGAATTATACACCATCACCAAGTGGAACTTATCCAGGAATGTAAGGTTGGTTTATTATCTAAAAATCTATGAATTAAAATTCAGTAATACCTCATATAAATAGATAATCTAAATAGATGCAAAAAATGCATTCGTCAAAATCCAACACATCTTCATGATAAAAACACTCAACAAACTAGAATAAAGACTTTGTCAACCTGACAAAAGGCGTGACAACTTACAGCTAACATACTTAACAGTGAAAAACTGGATTTTTCTCCATAAGATCAGGAACAAGACAAGGAGGTCTACTCACCATTTTATTCAACATTTTACTGAAGGTTCTAGCCAGGGCAATTAAGCAAGAAAAAGAAATAAAAGGTATCCAACATGTAAAGAAATGTTTAAAAGTATCTCTATTTGGAGATGACAAAATCATTTATATAGAAAATCTTAAGGAATCAAATAAAAAACTTCTGGAACTAATATATGAGTTCAGCAAGTTTTTAGAATACCAAACCAATATACAAAAATCAATTGTATTTCTATACACTTGAAATGGACAATCCAAAATTGGAATTAATGAAACATTTCCATTTCCAATAGCATCAAATAGAATAAAATACTAAGAAATAAATTTAACAAAGAATTACAAAACTATAAAACATCGTTGAAAGAAATTAAAGATATAAACAAATGTAGAAAACATTTCATGGTCCTGGATCAGAAGGCAATATTGTTAAGACGGTTATACACCTCAAGTTGATCTACAAATTCAACCAATCCGCATCAGAATCTGAAGACACTTATTTGTAGAAATTAACACTGAGATTCTAAAATTCATATGAACCCTGAAGAGCCAAAACAATCTTGAAAAAGAAAAAATAATGTTTCAAAAATTACACTTCTCAATTTCAAAATTTACTACAAACAACAGTAATTAAGAGAGTGTGATATTGTTATAAAGACAGATAAATAGATCAGCAGAATATACAGTCTAGAAATAAACCCTTTCATTTATGGCTTATTGGGTTTTTTTGCAAGGGTGCCAAGACCATTCAATGGGAAAAGAATATATTTTCAATAAATGGTGCTGGAACGACTGGATAGCCACACGCAAGAGAATAAAGTGGGACCCTTACCTCAGACCACATGTAAAAATTCACTCAAAATGGATCAAATACATAAATGTCAAAGCTAACAGTATGAAAATTTCAGAAAAAATTTATGGGGTAAATCTTCATGATTTTGTATTTGGCAATGGATTCTTCAATATGACACCAAAAACATGAGAAACAAAAGAAAAATAGATAAACTAGGCTTCATCAAAATTAAAAACTCTTGTGCTTCAAAGGTGACTATCAAGAAAGTGAAAAGACAATCCACAGAATGGGAGGAAGTATTTGCAAAACATGTATCTGATAAGAGACATATGATATAAAAAAAATCTATATAAACAACTATATCTATATAAAGAACTTTATATAAGTTTTATATAAAGTTCTATAAGAAATTTATCTATATAAAGAATTCTTACAACTGAGCAATAAAAAGATAAATAACTCAATTCAAAAATGGACAAAGTTTACAGCCATGCTACCCTGAACAAGCCTGATCTCATCTGATCTCAGAAGCTAAGCAGTTTCAGGCCTGGTTAGTGCTTGGATGGGAGACCACCTAGGAAGATCAGGTGCTGTAGGCATAAAAAATAAAAAAATAAGGGATTGTAACCTGACAAGGTCTTTGAAATCTGTGAGGTCAACCAAGGGTTGCCTCACCTAAAAAAAAAAAAAAGAAAGAAAAAATGGACAAAGGATCTGAATAGACTATTTTCCAAAGAAGATACATAAATGGCCATAGGCACATGAAAAGATGCTCAACATAGACATCAGGGATTGTTTTGGTTAAACACAGAGTTGCTATATGACCCAGCAATTCCACCCCTAGGTTCATACCAAAGGAAAAATAAAACATATGTCTACATAAAAACTTATATATGAATGTTTATAGTAGCATTATTCATGTAGCCAAAAGGTGGAAGCCAGCCAAATGTCCATCAACTGATGAATGGATAAACAAAATGTAGTATCTCTATATTTAATGCAATATTATTTGCCAAAAAAGAATGAAGTACTGATACATGCTATAATGTGTACGACCATTGAAAACACTATGTTAAGTGAAAGAAGCCAGTTACAAAAGACCATATATTACATGACTACATTTAAATTAAATATCAAGAATAGGCAAATCAATAGAGACATAGAGTAGACAGTGATTGCTTAGGGCTGGAAAGATGGAGAACAGACATGTGACAGCTAAAGGGTACAAGGTTTCTTTTGGAAGTGATAAAAATGTTTTAAAATTGACTATGGTGATGGTTACACATACCTGTGAATATACAAAAAAACACTGATTTATTTACTTCAAATGGGTGAATTGTATGGCATGTGAATTATAGCTCAAAGCTATTTAAAAAATAATAGAAAATTTCTGGATATATCTAATGCAACATTAATTATACTCACACTGTGCATCCAAGCTTATATTCCACTATTCCCCAATAAATATCTTTTTACTGAAATCAAGTAAGCCTAGAAAATTTCTGCCAGAAAAGCCATATTGATTCCTAAATGCAAGAATTTGTACATCTTCTTTCCTAGAGCTTGCCCTCATCCTCCTCTTTCTGCCTAACCCACAATTCAGATACACTTCAAAGTTACCGGTTCATGCTTTAAAAAAATGCCTGCATAAACTATGCCCCATCTCTTTAGACTATAATTTTCATTGAACTCCGAAAGTATATTGGACATGTAATTTTTTACAGCCATGAATCTTGATGTCATGTCTTTCTACATACAACCTATGTTACTAAAAAACATTAGCCTTCTGCTGCCTTTAAATTTCTTTTAGAAAGGCACTAAAGATACGATTACTGAGTGGATCAATATGAAATTTGAAATTACTGAGTGGATCATAAAAACTTACTGGTGGATCAGTAAGAAAGTTCTCTCTGTACATGGTCTATTAGTACTTAAATAGTTGTTGAATACCTACCACATGCTCAGCATAGGAGCAAGAAGGAACAGAAGCTACAGATCTGGGTAGAAACAAGTCTCAGCCACCAGCCAATGAAAAATAAGAACAAAGAAACTGAGATTTTACTTCTCTTTTGTCTCCCATCTGCCAGATTTTTACCTGGATAGATCCCATTTGATAGGTCTCCCTTTATAATCCATGGCTCTTCTCTTTGTTCCAACTTAGAGATGACATCTGGTTTGGAAGCTGGATACCCTATTATAAAGACATCATAGATGAATACATTGGAGGAAGAAGAAAGGGTACTGTTTAAAAGCCTCACAATGAAGCTGTCCAGCTGGACCTCAGTAAAGTAATGACCTTCCACTGGAGAGAGGAAAGAGCACAAAATCATTACATATGTCAGGAACCTACTCAACTCAATCAAAGGAGAAAGGAGAGGCACTGGATTGGATGATGCTGAGTTATTTAGGAAAGCTATCCTTACCCACTGAGACCAGGTAGCTGAGGTTCTCCAGCATCACATCCTTGTACAGGGTCCAGTCACTGCCACTCCTCCTGGGTGAAATCTACAGCCACATCCTCAAACGACACTGGACTCTATAATAATAGCATGCTCCTGTTCAATCTGAAGGGATGATCCTCATCATTTTTACCATAGTAAACAAAACTATATGCCCAGTTCTACATTATGCCTATTGAGAAAAATGATGCAAAATTCTGTCTTTAGAAAAAAAGTCAAACACGTCAAGAGAACAGAAGAGCAAAAGAGGCCTAATAATACAAATGGGAATTCAATAAAGGCAGCATTTCAAATAAGTGAATTATTCAACAAACGGTATTGGGAAAACTAGATAGTCAATTGGTTAAATATTAAAGTTGAGACTTTATGTTTTAAAAAATAGAATAAATAACTTCCAGATGGAGAAAAATCTAAACATCACAAATTATTAGTATGTACTAGGTTAACCCAGGAGGAAGGAAATGTTAAAAGTTCTTTCATGTTTTAATTTTTACTCCTATTTACTTTTTAAAATGTTTATACCAAGTAGAGATAATTCATGCAGGCTAGGAAAAAAACAGTAAAATGACTTTATAAACTGAAAAATAGAGAAAAAACTGGCATTAAGTTAGGACTAGATTCACAAACCCTGAGAACATAGCAAAAGCTATGGAGTATGAGACATCCCTGTTGGCCAAGCGTTAGCCACTGAATTATAACTTAAGAACGGCCTATTTGAGAGAAATATTTACTTTGGAGACAAACAGACGCTTATCACTCCATCTTATCTAGGTTTTATCCCTGGATAAACTGTACCAGAGTTTCATAAAAAATAATGCTTGTGGAGTTTGGCTCTGACATTATGATGACTGCCCTCTAAAATAAATATTTTAAGACACAACCACAAAAAAAAATGATAAAATTATACAGGAGTATAGGTCAGGACATCATCTATAGGAAGACCTAAAAAAAATATTTTTTTTTCTTCCTAAATCAGCTGAATTCTCTTTGTGGAGAGAATATAAATCATGTACATGTCCTCTACCTTTCCACTGTGGCTGCCAGAAGATATCGAACAAATTTGTGCTTTAATTTATAAACTTATATAAAGTATATAATTTAAATATAGTGAGTGTATTATATTTAATATAATTTATATATAACAAATACATATATTTGAACTATAATAGTAGTTTTATGTGGTTTAAAACCACATATCTGCACATTACCATACTACATAGCAACTCTTTCCAAGTCTTTATCTTTTGTTTGCTCTGCATTTCCCCCAATCCTAATGTTTAGCTTTCTGCCCTTTTCCATTTGATTGTATAGAAACCATGTATAAAATAAGGAAGCAACTCACCTGAGACCTGGTTATTTCCTGCTTCTCTTCTAAAAGAGCGGAGGTCTGGGGAATCACAACTGGGAGACAGACTCGAGTCTCCAAGGGCCAGAACTGACATTCACTAGTCTAAAAACAATGACCACCAGAAGTCAAGTGGATAACAGGCCACCCTACAAGAGAAGGTTGTTTGGTCCATACAAAGGGGTCAGCAAGCACCATGTAGAGAAAGTCCTCTTGTGATTAGAATATGATCATGTAGAACTTAGACAAGGTGTATTTTTAATTCAATAAATGCAGATATGTTTCCTGTTGATTTACTAACACCTTATTGTTCTCCCTTGAACCAGCAATTCTAGTAATTCTATTTGTAGGATTCTATCATGAGACAATAATCGTGAATATGTCTATATACATATTTAACTGCAGATGAAGCAGTTCTCTGGCAATAAGAATGGGAATAACCAAATACAAAATTGAGGAATGCATCCATATTCCTTAGACAGAAGCAACCAGCAAAATCCTAACAGCTCTTTCATATTTTTATTGCTGATTTTTAACAGTGCAGTTGTCTACATAAGAAAATAGTGATAGGTTGGAACCACTGATAAGTGGGAATATACCACAATGCAAGAAAATATTTACCTGGTAAATTTTTCGCAGTCCCAGAACGGGTCATGAAGATAGGGATGAACTGTTGAACTCATTCACAGGAAGTAAGTGATCCCATGTTAGAGAGACTATTTCGTATGGGGTACCTTAGGCTTTATCAAAATAAATATGGAAAGAAACAAACAGTCATGTTCACATTTGGACACCCAACTCTGCAACAAGCAAATACAAGGTGTTTAATAAATGTTTGTTGAACAGAATATATAACGATTTCAATAAACTTAGATAGAGGCAGGGCTGAAATCACAGCTCACATGAGAAAGAGAGAAAAACAGCCCCTCACATCTGAGAGCTGGCCTGGCACTCACAACTCTCCTATTTAACATAATTACATAGAACATCGACATCAGACAAGGCCACACTGTGACCACGGCAGAATAAGACAAAAACAAGACTTCTCTGAAATCATGTTTTAACACAGACAAAACAACAACACTGTCCAATCCACAAAATACCAAATATCACCCTCTACCAGTTAACCTGAAGGACTGCTACTTCTGTACCTATTACAGTTTTAGTCCCAGTCTAGTCTTTCATTTTTCTAGGTAAGATTTATTAAAATTCCCAATCATTGAATTATCCCACTTCCTGACGATATCCAATTCAGAGCAAAGCCCACTTGCTTAAGCCTGCCTCAAAAATCACCATACTTTATACTCACAGGTCGTCTCAGGGAAGTGGAAAGGCTGACCCTGTGAGTGAGATGTCCCTGCGGGTCCCCATTGTGTGCAAGTTCCTAACTTGATGCTAGAGGAATAAACCCAACTTGTTCAATACAGGGTTCCTAGTGGTCTTTGGCTATAGAGAGAACTGACAATAATAATCCTATCCCTTTAGATTTATTTGGTCTTATGTTCAAAGGATGTTTTCTTCCGTGAGGACTGAGTGATGGAGTGAGATGGTGGTTTGAGAAAACATCTGAGGGTCTTCAACTTGGCAGTGGCCTCTGACTTGCAGAGATTGTAAGGTGAAGACTTTCCTAGTAAACTGGGACTGACCTTTATCAGCCCCTGGTCCCTGTTAATGATTTCCACAAGTCACTGAATCACTAGGTACAGAAATTCCACAAATCACTGGCCACACAGAGACCCCATTGGCACACAGACCCATGTAGTTAATAATAGAACCTACTTCATAGAGTTGTTATGAGTATTAAATTAGTTAATACATTCAAAGCACCTATAACCGTGCATGGTATATAGCTGCAATGATCTGACACCAACTACTTGGAACTAGACCAGACTTCACAGGTTAAGGGCACAGTCTTACACAAGACTGCCCTCACTTCAGTCACCAGCTGTAAACTCAGGTGTTCTTAGTACACCCTCACTTCTGGCCAGTGGGCTAAAAATTCAGGGGTTCCCAGAACCCATTCAGGTTTGATAATTCACTTCAATGACTCACAGACAAAATTCAGGAAAGCACTATAGATGCTCAACTTACAATGGGGTTACCTCTCAATAAACCCATTATAAGTTGAATATATCATAAGTCGGAAATGCATTTAACCTACTGAATATCATGGCTTAGCCTAACCAATTTCTACTGAATGCATATCATTTTTGCAGCATCATAAATTTGAAAAACTGTAAGTTTAGCCATCATAAGTCGAGGCTATCTATATACTTATGATTACAGTTTTATTATAGCAATAAAATATGAATAAGAACTACCCAAAGGGAGAGACTCATAGTGTAAGGTCTGGGTCACAAAAAGCAACTGTTGTTCTCTCTGTGTTGAGTCGGGATGTGTGACCCACCCAGCACATTAACTGTGTGACAATACACAGAGTATTGCCAACCAGGGAAGTTCACCTGAGCTTAGTTTTTATTGCGATTTCATTACCTAGGCATGATTGGCCATGAAGATAAACTCAAACTCCACCTCCCCTCTACTCCTCAGAGGTCAAGAGGATGTCCAAATGATATCCTGTGGTTCAAGGCCTCAACTGTTTAATCACATGGTTGGTTTTTGTAGGGTGGCCAGTCTTCTATCTAGGGGCCCACTATGAGTCATCCAGTTAGCATGAACTATCAGGGCCCACCATGAATAACAGAGACATTCCTGTTGAATAACAGGGACAGTCCAAGGATTTAGAGGCTACCTCCCAGGAACCAAAAGCAAAATCTTTATTTTGCTAGCCAAATTCTTTATTCCAAGGATTTAGAGGTTACTTCCTAGGAACACTGAACAAAAGCCAGCCAGATTCTTTATTATACAATAGTAAATGCTGTACAGACATTTCCTTTTGTTGTAAATTTATGTCATATAAAAACTGTTATAACGCGGAAGGTGATTATCCAATATTATTTTTTCTAAATAACCAGTTTCCCTGGAACTATAGATATCAATCAGGACACTGATTAATGTTGCAATAAATCAATCCGGAGCAACAGTATCTTCATGATACTGAACTGTTCTGTGGAGGAAAATTGTCTCTCAGCTTTTTCAAGTTTTCTTTTTAAATATTACTCAGATGAGTTAGCTATTGATCTTCATATTTATGTAATCTATATACATTTGTGTGTGCTTAGGAAATATCCAACTTCATCACAAAATACTAATTTAAAGCATTGTTAGCTTCTATTTGCAGGCATTTTAAATAAATCTCTGAGGTGCATTTCCCCTTTTGTCATACTTTATACTCACAGGTCCTCTCAGGGAAGTGGAAAGGCTGACCGCAAGAAGTACAAAAGGCCTTCAACTCGAAGTCAAATTCCAGAGTGAAGAGCCCAAACTTTTAGTGAAATGTGATCCTACCCAGTAGAATTCTTGAAATGGAATAGGTCTGGTCGATAATGGAGTAGGCTTGTTGCTAAGTGCCACCTGTGTCTCTCTCTGAGTCTTTTTTGCGGAGAGGACTGGGAACTGGGGCAGGCAGCGCAGCGCTGTAATCAGGTGAAACACATTTAAACGCCTCACGCGCACCTAGCCTGTCCCTGCGCATGTGCAGCACTGATACATGGGAATTCTGGGAGATGTAGTTTGCGGTCGGAGGGAACACGGCGCCCCTTTCTGCATTAGTGTGCTCTCCTTGACCTCACATCGCTGACCCTCAACGGCGGCGGTGGGTCCCGAGTCTATCACTAGGCTGTACTTGGTTGAAACTGGAGATGCGCCGGCCGAAGAAGAGGGCGCAGGTGAACAACAGGGCTCAGCAGACTTTGGGGTAGGTGTGGACGGGCATGTGTCAAAAGCGGCAGTGACCCTGCACAACCTGGGCTCGTGAGGCCAGGCGGACGGGTCTCAGAAACCAACGCGGTGCACGGGCACTGCAGGTGTCGCGCCACGGAGCGCATGCCTGTGCGCACAAGTGGCAGACACCACGAGGAGGAACGCCTTCAGCAGTTTCGAAAGAGAACCAAGCTTTACTGAAGGTCTGAAATGTTCCAGGTGAATTGGTATTTGTTTTCCATAGGCGTCTAACTTTATCTCTTATAGCAACACTTTAAGTCGGTTTTTCAAACTATGGGCTGCAACCCAGTAGTGACTATGGGTGGTGAAGTCTTGTTCAGTGAGTCAAGACGAGGATATTTATTTGCCAGTAGTTTTTCTTTAGTTGGGATACAATTTACATGGAATGATTTCCACGTGATTTACAGAGAATAAAAGTGTAAAATTTGTTGTCTACACCCAAGTAACTACCACCCCACCAAAATATAGAACATTTTAATCCTCCAGAAAGCTCTGCCCATTCCAGTTAACCCTTCCCCAGACCAGTTTTCCAATTTCTATCTGTATAGGTTAATTTTGCCATTCTAGGTCATATAAATGGAATCCTGTAGTATGTATTCTTGTATGCGAGCATTTAAAAAAGTTAAATAACACTAAACTATCACACATATATCCCAAGTGATAAGAATTTTTTGTATAACTTACTACAGCTATATATATATATGTATATATATATTCAAAGACTATTTATTGAGCATCTATGAGCCAGACACTGTTCTGGTGCTGAGGATACAACACTGAATCAAACAAAAATCCCTGCCTTCATGAAATTTTAGTTTTGGTAAGTAGGGATAGTCAATAAATAATAAGTACAATAAATCAGTAAATGAGATAGTATATTAGAAGATGAGGTGTTATGCACGAAGAAAAAGTAAATCAGGGTAAAGTGTAGAAAGGTTAAGTTTGAATTAGGTAGACAGGAAAGGCCTCCTTGATGATATTTGAGCAAAGACTTGAAGTAATAGAAAAGTGTGCTGGGCAGAGGAAACAGCGTGCGTGCATCCCTGCGCATGTGTGCGTGTACACGCACTAGGTTGTTTTGTAAAATATGTTCATTACCTTAATCAAAAAGTAAAAATAGTGAGAGTCCCTGGTACAATGCAGGTATTAGTTCCAATTTTACTGAGGCTCAGAAAGGTGAAGTGACTTGCTGGAGAATTACATCAACCTCATCTCAGTGGATGAGGACCATTTCCCAGTGTCGATTGGCATGTGCCTGATTGACTACTTTCCCTGTCTTAGTTGCTCCAAATTGCCAGCCCTTTGAAGTACTTTTACAGGTTTGGCCCTGAGTCTCAGTAGACCAAGACTGATAATCTTTTGGGAGGTATAGCTACAAGTTTGTTGAAGGACATCTCTTTTTCAGGTACAAATTGGCATCTTCATTAGGCAGTCTGGATGAGTTCAGAGTTCAAAGGACCTAAGGCTTGGGTAGGTAGGCCATATCCCATATCATTTCCCATTGACAGGATATCAAACCACCAAGCCAGTTGTGATCCACAAGTTGGAAGAAGGAGAAGAACCATGGATGATGGAGAGAGGAACCCCAAGTTGGAGCTACCCAGGTGAGTTAGGTGAAGAGGGGTATGGATGGAGGTGAATGAAATTAAGATCACAGCTGGTCAGTCTTAGAAAAATATGCTTCAGGACTCTTTCTAAAGGCCTTCGGTCTATGGCCACGCTACCTTGAACAAGCCCAATCCTGTCTGATCTCGGAAGCCAAGCAGAGTTGGGCCTGGTTAGTACTTGGATTGGAGACCACCTAGGAAAACCAGGTGCTGTAGGCGTAAAAGATAAAAAAGTAAGGGATTGTAAGCTGACAAGGTCCTTGCAATCTGTGAGGTCAGCTAAGAGTTGCCTCGCCTAAAAAATTAAAAATAAATAAATAAATAAAGGCCTCGGACCTTTGGAAACAACCAGGGACTGTTGACATAAGTTTCCTACCTACCTGAACGCCGTTTCCATGGGTCACTTTCCCTCATTCATGCTCTTGTTTGCATGGCGGTTAGAGAATGATATTATCCCCTTCAGGGGTATTCCACCTGTGATTTTTATCAGCTTCATTAAGGACTTTGAGATTTTTTTCTTTCTTTTTTTAAATTTTGGCAAGATATACGTACCAGAATTTACTATTTTAACAATTCAGTGGGATTAAGTGTATTCACATCGTTGTGGAACCATCACCATGGTTCAGATCCAGAACTCTTTCATAATCACAAACTGAAACTCTGTACCCACTAAACAATAACTCCCATCCCACTTCCCCACCAGCCACTGGTAGCTACTATTGTACTTTCTATTGTTATGAATTTAACTATTCCAGATACCCCATTAAACAGAATCATAGAGTGTTTGTCCTTTTGTGTCTGATTTATTTTGCCTAGCATATCTTCAAAGTTCATCTATGTTGTAGCATGTGTCAGAATTTCATTGCTTTTTATAACTGAATAACTTTCCATTGTTTGTATATACCACATTTTATCCATTCATCTGCCAATGAACATTTGAGTTGCTTCCACCCTTTGGCTATTGTCAATAATGCTTATGTAAACATTGTTGTACAAATATCTGTTTGAATCCCTGCTTTCAATTCTTTTAGGTATATACCTAGAAGTAAAACTGCTGGGTCATGAGGTAATTCTGTGTTTACATTTTTAAAGAATTGCCATGATGTTTTCCACAGCTACTGCACAATTTCACATTCCCACAAGGGTTCCAATTTTTCCACATCCTCTCTTATTTTCTGTTTTTCTTTTTTTTTATAATAGTCATTCTAATGGATATGAAATAGTATCTTATTGTGGTTTTGAGTTGCATTTCTCTAATGACTAATGATGTTGAGCATGTTTTCATGTGCTTATTGGCTATTTGTATATTTTCCTTGGTGAAGGAAGTGTCTATTCAAGTTCTTTGTCCATTTTTAAATTGGATTTTTTTGTTCTCTTGTCATTAAACTGTAGTTCTTGGTATATTCTGCATATTAGTCCCTTACAAAAACCCACATTATCCCTTCCTCCAGTGTTCTAGTTGGATTTATTTGATTCTTTAGATCTTCTTAAATTTGCCTGCCAGATTTGCTACCTAAAGGATACTGCTTATTCTCTCAATAACCTGATAAAATAAATCTTCAATTGTTGTCTATTACCTAATATATGATATTTAACTCCTTCAGCTGTCTACCCTCTGCAATGTCAGTTTTTCTTCTTTCCTCAGACTTAGCTTTATTCCTTTTGAAACTATAATTAATGACCTAACTGGGTAAGGATTCTGGCCACCAATTACAATGTGTGTGGGGTGGGGTGGGAGGGGTTTTCCCATATCATCAAGGAATTCAACAAAGCTAGCTGGGTATCCTACAATTGAACTCAATTCTGACACTGTCTACCCAGAGATTGTGTCAGAGTCCACAGTTTAAGGGCTCAGTCCCACAAGATTGCCCTGCACTTCAAATACTAATTGCAAGTCCAGGTTGTTACCTGTACTTCTGACCAACTAGATATAAATCGGAAGTCCTCCTCAAGTTTGATTAATTTGCTAGAGTAGTTCACAGAATTCAGGAAAGTCATTTACTCACTAGATTACTGATTGCAAAGGATATTAAAGGGAATGAATCAACAGCCAGATGAAGAGATACATAGGGCGGGGTTCCCAACAAAAGCCCTTAAAGTCCTTGTGGAGCTTGGGGCTTGGCATGGTGGCCTGGAAGTGTTTTGATTCCTCATCCTGGAAGCTCTGTAACTCGCCTCCGTTTTTACAGAGGCTTCATTAAATAGGCACAATTGATTAACTTATTGGCCATTCATGACTGATTCAACCTCCAGTCTCTCTCCCTTTGCAGAGTTCAAGGGGTAAGACTGAAATGTCCAACCCTCTAATCATATGGTTAGGTCCGCTGGTGATCAGCTCCTGTCCTAAAGTGCTTTCCAAAAGCCTCCTCTTTAACATCACAAAAAACACCTTTCTTGTTCTCACCACTTAGGAAATTCCAAGGGCTTTAGGAGCTCTGTGCCAGAAACAAGGACAAAGACAAAATATATGTGTTTCTTATTATAAATCACAGTATCACACTGGGACAAAAGTTATGTATTGGAGCCTCTGGGGACTCAATGCGGGATACAGAATGAAAATCTACTCACTTTTTTAAAGACTTGATGACTTATGTGTTAGAAACTGGGCCAGGAAACTCAGTAGAATTGTCAAATTTTGAAACAAGGAATGATATTATTGTTCTGAATGTCGTGGCTTAGTGTAATAAAAGTCAGGTACTGTCCGAGGTTTATAAAATAGATGGAAATGAAAATGGATCCATGGTGAGACATCTGCTGCTTAAGGTCTCCACATTAGTGGAATCCAGAAGTTTGGAAAACATGATATAAAGCAGAAATTGACAAACACACAGTTGTGGGAAAGCCTTAGCAAGAAATCAAATCTCATTATACATCTGAGAATCCATACTCTAAAGAAACTTTATGAGTGTATTGAATGCGGAAAAGCTTTCTCTCATAAGTCACACTTCACTGAACATCAGAGAATTCACACCAGGGAGAAACTCTATGAATGTAATGTGTAGGAAAGCCTTTTTTCAAAAATCACACCTCAGCATTCATCAGAGAAACCGTATGCTTGTGATGAATGCGGGAGAGGCTTCAGCATGAAGTTACACCTCTTTGTACATTGGAGAATATACACAGGAGAGAAACTTTATGTATGTCCTAAGTGTAAGAGAGCTTTCAGTAAAGTGTCATGCCTTATTGGACACCAGAAAATCCATACTGGGTAGAAACCTTTTGAATGTAATGAGTGTAAAAAAGCCTGTTTTGAGAAGTCGACCTCATTACACATTACAGAACTCATACAGGGGAAGAACCTTCTGAATGCAATCAGTGTGGAAAAGCCTTCAGATATAGCTCAGCCTTCTGTTGACATAAGAAGACTCATAAAGAAAAAATTCCATAAAAGAGAAATTAATGGAATATCTTCAACTAAAAATTACAGTGACAGAAAGCTTTCAGTAGAAATCAAACTTGATTAAGTGTAAGTCTTACTAAGAAGAAGCCTATTAATTCAACATATTTTAAAAAGAACGTAGCTTTATTTCTATGGAAATCATATTCCAGATGTGTTGCCACAGTATTTCTAGAAGATATTACAGATATGTACTCTAGACTACAAAGATTTTTGATATATCTAAATAACTGGAATTCCCAGAACAAAATTAGAAAACCATATATGGACAATCTGCAAGATATGAAAGCATTATATTCCTAGCTGTGCTGCATTATATTATGCACCATATAACATAAATCATATATGTATCAGAATTGCATATGTGAAGCTAATATAATTATGAATATAAAATAAGTATTATATATGGAATGTCATCTACCAAGATTTTCTGCATTAAGTAATACCATTTTTTCTTCTATTAAGAAAATAAGAATTTTAACAAAAACCATGGCATTCAATAAGAGTTTGAAAGTGTGAAACAACAAACAAACATTTTTCCTGTTGTTTGCTGGTACATATAAAAGATTTCTGCTACTCCTTGATCAGTGATAGAGTATTATAAAGGTGTTGTTATTTACATGAAATATATAAATATGAGATAGATATCTTATGAGAGTGAACAAAAAGCATAACCTTGGCCTCTTAGAACACGCACTACAATTTAAACAGTAATTTCTCAATTACCCCCTTTTTACTTACTGTTATTGTTCTCCCCTAAACTCATTATATTAAAGCCCTAATGGCCAGTACTTCAGAACATGACTGTAATAAAAAGTAATTAAAAAGTAATTAAGTTAAAATGAGGCTGTTAGAGTGGACCCTAATTCAAAATGACTGGTGTCCTTATAAGATAAGGAGATAGGACATACAGAGGGACACCAGGAATGAAGGTTCACAGAGGAAAGACCACGTGAAGAGGCAGTAGAAGGGTGGCCATCTGCAAGCCAAGGAGAGAGGCCTCAGAGGAAACACCTGCTAACACCTTGATCTTAGACTTCTAACTTCTAGAACTGTCAGAAAATACATTTCTGTTATGTAAGCCACCCAGTCTATGGTATTTTATTATGGCAGCCATAGCAAACTAACACACATACTACTGCTCTTTTTCACTGGAGTATTTAATAAATTTGAATATACAAATTATAAGTACTACGCGATCCAACAATATGATAAGGGGCTTGCTGTACTGTGCACCATTTCTCTCTATTTGGAATTTCCTAATCCCCTTGCAATAGAAATACTTTCATAAGGATTTCACGATTCAGAAATATAGAGACTTTTTGCAGAGAGAATTGTTTACTTTTTAAAAATCCGTTTAATGGTGGGAGACAGATATCCTGTTAATTTCCATGTGAATATCCATGGCATTAGAAATCAATGTGTTTCTTCTTTATTCATTAAAAATGGAACCTTCTTTTCTTAAATTGAGGTCTAACAGAGAATTAGGAATACAGAGAATATGTATACAAGAGGTAGTGTAAGAGCTTTCATTCTGGAGCCAGGAAGATCTAGATGATATATCTGCTTTGAGCCTTATTTTCTCTTCTGTGAATTTGAAATAACAGCACTATAATTTGTTGGGTTATTGCAAGAATTATACAAGATAATATATGTATAATACCCATAAGATGTTACCTATTTTTATATTTTTTCAAGGATATAACTGGAAAGACACATTCTAATTAGAAAGACAGACAAGGAAATGATTCACTGTAATTGAGGCTGTGATAGAGGGAGATAGAGAGGACTGTGAGGGGGTCACATGCATCATTCTGTTTCATTCTCACAAAGATGTAGGCCTTGAACCACTGCCCTCCATTGCCCCTGTTTTAAGTCACTGAATTTTGAGGCTGGTCCTAGAACTATACTGCTAATGTTACAAAAACTAAAATATGTGACACTGGCTTAGCACCTAGGCAGTAAGAAAACTGATGTCAGAAGCCGGAAAGATGTTTATAAACCAGCAAAACTTTTGGTAAAATTGCCTCCTCTACATATATTTACTATGCTGATGGCTCTAGAAGATATTAGAAAATAGAATATTAGTAATATTTGCTGGTTGATAATAACTACATTGGATAAACTACTACAAGAAAGAAAGAAACTCAGGAAAATTAATGATCGACAAGCAAAAATAAAAGCATACAGTCTAGAAATTTGGGGCCTTACAGAGTTAAAACAAATAACTATTTCTAGCCTTCCAAAAGTAAGAGAATGATTTAAATAGCTTTGAGAATCAACAACCTGATAAACCTTATCAGTGACATAAAGTGACTCAGGAGAAAGATTTCATTAAGAGGCTGAAATCTCCTCATTCAAGCCTGATACCCTCATAGCAGTGTCTCGTCCGCCCACCCCAGCTCTTTGTTACAGAAGATCAATTTTAGTGGTAGCTAAGAAGACTGGTCTCCCATTCCCAACCTAGCTCCTGGCTGTACAGCAGGGTAGGGTAGGCCAATAATACTGGGGCCCTGATTCCCTCCCCACAAAATCTTGTTTGTAGGGTGGATGTTCCATGCTGTGGAGGGAGGATGGGCAAGCTGAAAGGACAGCTGGCTACCATTCTCCCAGCTTTCACTTGTAGATCTGAGCTTCCATACTTGGGAAAATAGATTAAAAAGACTTCAGACTTCCACTTCTCCATTCAAAATCCTAGTTGTAGGGAGGGGTTTCAATGCCAAGAGGAAAAGCTTAACTGATAGAGACTGCTAACTCAACTAGGGGCTAGTGTCAAAATTTAACTGGATTTTTGGACATCCAGTTGGTATTAGAGAATTGATGTAGAAAAACCCTGTGCATTTAGTGTCAGAGTGGTGCCAGAAAAAAGACATTGTACCCTTCAAAAGTTAAAGGGAAATATTTTCTCAGAAAAAAATATTAAGGGAGTTTGTCACCAGTAGACCTACCTTGCCAGAAACATTATAAGAAAATCTTCAGAAAGAAAGAAAATGATATAAATCAGAAATTTAGATCTACGTAAAGAAAGGTAGAGTATTATAGAAGGAATAAATGAAGGTAAAATAAAACCTTTTTTTTCTTAGTCTTAATTGATCTAATAAGCTTTTTTAAAAAATAGTAACAGCAGTATATTGGTTGATTATAGCCAATGGATAAGTGAAATAAATTATAGCAATGTCATATGAGATGGGAAAGGAGGAATCATATATATAGATATAGATATAGATACATATCTATAGATATATCTTTATACTTGAGTTTCTTGTAGACAACACACACTGATGGTGGGAATGTGAAATGATGCAGATGCTTTAGAAAAGTCTCTGGAAGCTCCTCAAATGACTAAGCATAGAGTTACCATAGGAACCAGTAACTTCACTCCTAGGTACATACCCAGGAGAAATGAAAACTTATGTCCATGCAAAAACTTGTACACATATATTCAGAGCACCACTATTCACAGTAGCTAAGAGGTAGAAACAACCCAAATGTCCATCAACTGATGAATGGATAAGTAAAGTATGCTATATCTATACTATGGAATATTATTCAGCCATAAAAAAAGAATGAAGTACATGATACAGCATGAACCTTTAAATATTATGCTAAGTGAAAGAAGTCAGTCACAAAAGACCACATGCCACATGATTCCATTTATATGAAATGTTCAGAATAGGAATTACACAGAGACAAAAAGTAGACTAGTAGTTGCTTAGGACTGGAGGAAGGGATGAGGGGATAGGAATGATGGCTAAAGAGTATAGAATGTCCTTCTGAGGTGACTAAAATGTCCTAATATTTACTGGTAATGGTTACATACATTCAGTGAATATATTGAAAGCATTGAACTGAATACTTTAAGTGGATGAATTTATGGTATGTGAACTATATCTCCATGAATTGGTTTTTAAAAATTGAATTGTTGGGCTTATAATATGTAGAGGTTTAATATATTTTACAGTACAAAGGAGGAGAGAAAGAAAGAAATTATAGGGGATTGATGAAGTGACATCAGATGATAACTTAAAACCACAGGAAAAATTGAAGAGTGCCAGAAATGGTAAATGTTTTTTTAAAAATTATATATATGTGTATATGTGTGTGTCCTTTCTTCTCTTAGTTTCTTCAAAAGACATAAAGTTATATAAAGCAAAAATTATAATACTATATTGCTGGCTTTTAACATATATAGACATTATGACAACAATAGTGCAAAGGGGGTCAGAATGGAGCAAATTTTCTGCATATCACTGGAATTAAGTGAGTTATTAATCTGAAGAAGATTGAAATAAATTAATAGACATCTAAGATGTCTAAGCCCTAGGGCAAACCACTGGAAAAATCATAAATAGTTTTAAAATCAGTAGATAGTCTGCCATTAAGAATGGAGAGCCTAACTTCTCAGTCCTAGAGTGTGTGCGGTGCATAGTGACTTTGAAAATGGATAGAATGTGAAGAGAAGGGCAAACAGTAACTTTAAAGTGGAGAAACATGACAAATACCACCTCAGACAGGTGGTCAATGTCAATATCAACACTGATAAACCACATTGATAACATGTACTCTTGATATGACACGTGGCACTTTACCTCAGTGGCCTTCCTCCCCCAAACAAATCGCAGTCTAAGCATGAGAAAAACATCAGAAAAATCCCAATAGGGAGACATTCCACAAAATACCTGACCAGTTTTTCTCAAAACTGTCAAGGTTATAAAAACAAGGAAAGTCAAAGAAATTGCCTCAGCCAAGAAGAGCGTAAAGAAGCATGATGGCTAAATGTAATGTAGTATCCTGGGTGGAAGGAAGCCTGGAGAAGAAGAAGGACATCAGATAAAAACTAAAGAAATCTGAATAAAGTATGGAGTTTAGTTACTAATAATGTATCAATATTGCTTCATTTATTATAACAAATGTATCAGAGTAATGTAATAGAATCAATGGTATATAAAATCTTGACTATCAATCTACATGCTGCAGAATCCACAAGTGGTACCCGCCACAAGTGGAATCATCCTCTAGAAGTTCCTGAGAAAGCCCTGTGGATGGAACCAAGTTTAGAACCAAAGACGTTGCTGGTCCTCTTCCCATTTTCTTTAACAGAAATTACTCGAGAAGCATCCTGACATCTCCCCATACACAGAACATGATGGAAAAGAGAGTTGGCAAGATTGGGAAGACCTAAGCATATGAACATTTATTTAAACATGATACGCCTGGAGAAGATGGTGTGAAGAATGGAATGAGATCTGATAAGACTCCAAAGGAGGGCTGTTTTAAGGGTGAGATGATGTGTCCTGGGGGCGCACATAAGGGAGAAAGGTTTTCTATGATGTATATCTGTTAGGTTAGCAGATGTAGTGCACATGTGAATTAGGGGAGCAGGGGAAGCATGTGGCAGGGCGGGTGCCATGCATCTGGGATTAGAGTGATTTTAGGAACAATTTGAAGCCCGGGGGCTTACCCTCTCAATGCTCTTCACCTCACAGAACAGCAAAATCCCTTGGGTAAGACAAACCCTGATCAAAGACCCAGACCTCCACCTCTTTCTCTCCCAGGAAACTCATTTTCCTTCTGGCACTGTTCTTCTGCAGGGCAGAATTCTGCTGGGTCTTCACCTCTTACAATCATCCTTACAATGATCCTTGGAAAGAGTCACCATCCGGTATTCTAAGATGGGTCCCTTGTAAGGCCGTTTTGGCCATGCCATCTATACTTGCATCTCTTCCCACAAAGGCATCTGAGTCTAGTGGCCAATGGACTATTTCTCTTTCTAAAAAAGCATATATGTATATTACTCAGGGTACTTTTCTATGTCCTCTCTCCTCACTGGAACGTGCCTGCCTCATGGAGCATGGGATGGTTTTTGTGATTCACTTCTCTTTATGAGGTTGGTCACAGAGATCTGCAGGTGGGCTGTGTTTACTTTCTTTAAGAAGATGTCATTGGCTCGGGAATATCAGTCAGCCATGTCTGAATCCCAGACACAAGGAGACCCCAGAGAAGAGGGTGAGGCTGCCCCTAACTGCCTAGATGACTAAGTCACCAATGTATTAGAATCTTGAAATCACAGCACCATGGAAACAGAATCACAGAATTTTGAATCTGGATGGCACCAGAGAGCTCACATAATCTAAAACATTAACAACAACAACAACAAATCCTGGGGACAAAGGGTCAGATTTAGGACTTCAGATCAGCCTGGACAAGAACAATGGCTACACAGCTCCCATCAGCCCACATCTGAGATGCTTCCAGAACAGCAGCCAGATCCCGTATTCTCCTTGGCTTGCTATTCCTACCATCTGCCACTTGGGGCTCTCTGCCTTGAGCAGCTTCAAGGAGCAAAAAAGTGACAGTTGAGGTTGCCTCTCAGACAGGCTCATGTTTCTCAGGTTGACTTCAACATTAGCTTACTGTGTGTGCGCGTGCACTGCATTGGGACCTAAGGCATTTTTACAATATACGATTCAGAGTACTTCCTGACTCAGATTGGCCTGTCACAAGAATAGGTACCTAATTTTTTTTTTTTTTTACTGATAGATTCCCTACAATTAAAGAAACTAAAATTTTCTAATGGCAATAATACATGTTCACTGTTAAAAACTCAGACATATAACTATAAAGAAGAACATGAAAAGCAACTGAATTTCACCTCCCAACATAAATGCTGTCAACATTAGACATTTAAAAATGGGCCATAGTTTATAAGTTTATAACTAGAGTTTTACTTAGCAATACACCATAGACATCTATCTCATTATATTCAAATTGCTCAATAACATTTCCCCGTGTGGATGTGCCATAATATATTTAGCCAAACTCCTATTTAGAGGCCTGGTTTGTTTTCGATTTTTCAGTAATATAAACAATGCTGAGATAAAGCTCTGGTTCCTCGATTATTTATGTTGGCTGGTTTTAATATGTGATATGAATTTTATCCACAAGGGGGAAGCAGGCTACTGTGAGAAGACAAGCTAAGATTGGGGACGGAAAACAAAAAAAAAACCCGGAAAGTTCTTTGGCATACATAAATTCACTTCAACCTTGAGGCAAATATTAATATTTTCCTCTTTTTAAGGATAAGGAAACTCATGTGGGAAGCGTAAGCCATGTGTGCAGATTCTCACCAACCAGTGAGCACCAAGGTGGAATTCAAAGCATCCTTTTGATTCCATATAGCTGGCTTTCTTCATTTCACTACACTCCCAAAGTTGATATCAGTAAGATATTCTTCCTACATTCAATTCAGTTCTAGGTACTGTGCTGGGATATTATTCAGCAATGAATAAGAGGATCCCTGCCCCTCAGGGGGTCATTATCAAGTGTGAGGGCAGATTTATACATAAATAATTGAATGACTAAATGCCCACCAGAATAGACAGAGCCCAGGAAGGCAGGAAGTCATTTTGGCAGTGAGGCAGGGCACAGCTTTATAAAAGAGGCTCAATAACAATAAGAGCTAAAATTAATTGAGCTTTACTCAGTAAGAGACACTGTGTTAAGTGCTTTATATGCATAACCTAATTAAAAGGTCCACGTAGACCAGGAAGGTATTGTATCCTTTTTACAAAGACAAAAATTAGTGGTCAGAGAGGTTAAGAAACTGGCTACTTGTGACGTAACACTGCAACCTACATCCTAATTTGGCTTACCATCCCCAGAAGGGATGATAGACCTTCAACAGGCAGAGCTTGGAGACTCCTAGAAGAGGAAACACAGAAACAAAATCTTAGAGACAACAAATACCAGCACCTTTGGGAATACAAGGGGCTGGGTGTATCTGGGGTATGAAAGAGGAAGGATCCGAAGAGATAAAGACTAGAGGAAGAAAACGAGTCAGATTGGAGAAGTCTGTGAATAGCAAGCCAAGGAGATCCTACTTTATCTTGTATTGGGGGGAGGGGAGCCCAACCACAGAGAATAACATTACCTGTGTTTTATGAAGGTTATTTTGGTGCATTGCATAAGGGAATAAGAAGATTAGTTAGGGGATTATTAAAATAATCCTGGCCAAAGATAAGAGAGAATGAGAACCAAAAGACATTACTGAGATAAAATCCACAAGATTTGACATCTCAGATATCACGGAGAGAGAGGAGAGAACTATGGTTAAGAGTTCCATGTCTGGGCAACTGGGAGAATGTGAGCATGTACACCAAGCGGGGGCTGTGAGGAGGGAGGAGATGAGGTTACTTGTTTTACATGAGATTTTCTTACTGAGGGACCTCTGAATGGAGATGTTCAGTGGAGAATTAGAAGTAGTAAGCTGGTGATTTAGATACAGAACCTAAGAATCAGAAGAACTGACGCAGGGAGCTGGCCAGGGAGAATCTATACTTGAGATTCAGCAGAAGATGAAATCTGCTGAGAAGAGACTGTTCCAAGACCTGACCACTGTCTGACCCGTGAGCTGGACCTAGTTCAGAAGGGAGATTGCTCACTGCAAATCAGTGCCCATTCTGTCATAAACCATCACCCCTGCCTTGCCTCCTGGTATGTGCTAGTTCCTGGAACAGGCCGTTATTTTGACCTGGTCAAGCATATAAAGTAATTCCCTGTACCTGGTAGCATTCACCTGCTAGACCCCATGAATGTCGCCATTTTACTCTATATAATTCTTTGGCACCTACCCAGTGGTGCAGGGATCCATTTGTCTTGCAGCTGCCCAAGACGTGCCTCTTACGTAAGCTTCTCTTAATAAACTCTATTAACTACCAGACTGAAGTGGCCAGCCTCTTTCTTTGGTGTTTCCTTGTCCTCTACTTACAGAGGTAGATTTTCAGTCCCAGGACCTTTTCCTGGGCCTCCATATACTAAAAACCTGTAATTCCATTGCCAGGTTTCTGTCTTAGATAAATAAAATCACATGTGCACAAGAAAGCTAGGCACGGCAGCATTGTTTGCAGCAGTGAAAGTCTGGGTGAGGGGAGGAATAAGTAAATAACAAAAACATCCACATGGTTAAAAATTAAGTATATTAAAAATAATAACATGGACAGATCTCTAAAACATACAGTGGTGAGAAAAGCAAGTTGCAGCACAATAATAATGTGTAATACTACCTATGGAAAAAAAAGAAAAGTAAAAAAAAAATGCTGTCATGTATATTTAAAATGTGTGTGTGTGTGTGGAGAGAAAATTTTAGAAGGATAAGCACTGCTAATTATGCTAAAGGAGAGGAATTGTGACGAAAAATGGAGAGAAGAGGTGAAATGGGATTTTAGCCTTAATTGTCAAGTTTTAATTTTACAAAAAGAAAAGTCATGTATTACTTATGTAAATAAATACTCTCGAACTATTAAAAATATATAGACTCAATGGAAAGAAGAGAGAATGGAAGAGAGGGACATATTCCAAGACTCTGAGTAGGGCAATATTGTGGGGAACACTGAGAGAAGTTTCTGGAAGTATAAAGTGGAAGCAGGAATCCACTCACCCACCCTGCAGAGGCAGCCAGCCAGATGAGCCCTATGAACTCGGTTAGTTTTTAACAACTTTCAGTTACAGCCACAAGCTCCTGTGTCTTTGAAAGGTCACATGCCTCACCACTTGCCTTGGAATGAGACTGTGTATTTTCTGTTCTTTTCTAAGTTGTAAATATCCTAAGATTTTTCATCCAATTCTTGTGTTTGGACATGTCCTCCCTTCCCCAGAAATTCCACAGTGGTTATTCTTGGTGTCCTCATTCCAATCCTTCAAGCTGCCTATAAAATCCACTTCCTCCCATTCCAGTCCCCGCAAATACCTGCCTCATCACTTGTCTCCCATTCAGAAATATTCCCAGTCTAGGTCACTTGTAAGAGCATTGCTGTGGGAGGCCTTTTATGGACTTTTTCAAGGGACACCCAGAATAGATGTAGCTAACACTGATTGAGCACACGGAGGTGCCAGGCACAGTGCCAAACTCAGAGAGAGTATCTCATTTAACCTTTCCAACAAGTGAAGAGGGCAATACTATTATAACCCTTATTTCACAGCTGAGACTCAGTGTGTGGTGGTCAGCATAAGGGTGGATAAGCATGTGTGTGTGTGTCTTACTACGTGAGTTTGTCCTAAGGGACTGAATGAAGGTGGGGTGTAGGGACTGGGGAGGAGTGAGGGAATAGACTAGGAAGCAACTTCTCAGGTGATTGAGAGGATTCAGTTTGCCAAGTGCCTTGATAGTCATGATTTCATTTGATTGCACCACAGTGCTGTAATGGTGGGGGCCATTAGGGAAAATAATGAGATGAGTCAAGCTTTAATTCCCGTAAAGTGGCAACCATTGGGCCAAAGGCTTTTAGGGCTCATTAACCCCACTATTTGGCCTTGAGCAAGTGCCCAAGGGGTCGACACAGACAGGACATGTGTTTCTGTGGCCCCTTCTGGCCCAGCTCTTTAAGAATCATTGAGTTCCTAGCAGCCACTCCTCCCAGTCTAGAAACTCTTGGCCAGGCACCTCCTGCTTTCCAAGCCCGCCTATCCCAGGAGATAAAGCTAAGAGGCAGAGGAGCCAGTTCCTGGGGTTAATAAACAGGCTGTTTATATCCAGGAGCAGTCACAAGGCAGGAAAAGACAGGCTAGGAGGTCATGCTCCTTCTGAATGTTGAGGTTTCTCATAAACATTTGCTCAGTGAGCCTTCTGGGATGCAGAGACAACTCTGGGCCCATTGCCCTTGCCGGGCAGGGCGCCAAGGCCCCCACTGCTCACCTCCGTCTCCTTTCTCCCCACTGTGTTTCTCCTCTTCCTTTTCTCCTGTCATTCTTCTCCTTTCTTCTATGATGGAAAGGGGATACCTTTCCACAGTAGACACATCTGATAACTTTGGGCAGGTATTTCAACCCTCTTAAATCTCAGTTTCCTCCCTCGTAAAGAAAAATGGAGGTAACAATGAGGCCCTTCTCGCAGGATGTATGGGAAGGTGCCTAGCTCTATGTTGGGTATTTGAAACACATCTGTCTTTCCCTTTTCTCCTTTCACTCCATCTCTCCTCCATAATCCTGGCCCCTGCCCTTTTCCCCATTCTATTTTCCTGCTTCGGTCCTGCCCCCATCTCCACCTGGGAAATTTCCACCCCCTCGGACTGTTCTTCTGTGTGAGTGGGTGGGAGGGAGAGCCAGGTTTAGCCCTAAGGACAGATGATCACTACGAGGCCAGCTCAGCCAGGCCAGCCTTGGCACTTACCCATAAAGCCACACCCTAGGCCACTCTGCTTTTAATAAACAGCCCATAGGATTTGGGAGTGGAGGGAGGATGTAGAATGGGTGAGGCAAAGATATTTTAACATTTGGCTTATTTTTGCCCGAAATCTGACTCTTCTGGTGGCTTAATGATGAGAGATCATTGCGTAAATTGCTGTGTGACTTTGGGCAGTCCCCTTCACTCTCTGGGCTTCAGTGCGGGGAGCGGGGGGAGGATAGAAGTGGAGAGTGCAGGCCCTAGATTTGCCAGATTGTCTGAAATGGAACCCCAGCTCTACCACTTACTAGCTTGGGTGATTAACTTCCCTATGCCCTAGTTTCTTAAATTTTAAAATAGAATTTATATGTTCTTTATAGGGTTGGTAGGGGATTAACTAAATTAGTCTGTTTAAAGCATTTAGAACAGAGCCTAACCCATAGTGGGCACTCAGTTCATCTTAGCTATTATATGTAAATGAGAGGTTGAACAGAAGGTGTCTGCACGTGGGGAGAGCAGGATATTCTCATAGGGTTTTCTAAAGTCCTGAAATCTCTCATTCCTCCACTTTGTTGACCTCTGGATAAAAACAGGTCAGAATCTTGTCCACGAAGTACTTGACTGTCCCAGGGAGACTTTCAAAACCACATGGAGCCCTTAGAGGTCATGTGATCCATGGTACAGAAAGGGCATGGAGGGCCAGAGAGACTACAAGGACTGGTCTGAGTTCACAAAGCTGTGACGGGTGGCAGAATTGCCGGTGGAAATACGGAGGGTAGGGAGGGGTTTATTAGTTCAGGCACCCACTCCACAGCTAAGATACTTGGGGTCATCACTGACATCTTTAATAATTACTATGTAATGAAGAGGAAATATATCCCAAGTACTGCCCCAAAAGTTTTCACATGCATTATCTCAGTCCATACAAAAATCTCCTTTTTACAAATGTGAAAAGATGCCTTGCCCAAGGTGAAACAGCTAGAAAGAGGTAGAGCTGGGATTCGAATCCAGGTTTTTCTGATGCCAAAACCAAAGTTCTCACGTGACACACATTTAATGCTTCTTAGTGCCTAACTTGGGACTTGAGGCAACGACCCAGAAAATAAGCCCTTTCATTTTTGTCTGACTGAGCTGGCCAAGCAGATAACACCAATGGACAAACCTGGCCTCCCGGTCACCTTTCCAATCCTATCCACCCTGACCCGCAAGACACGATGAGCGACTAGACCCATGTGGGAGAGTAGGTCCCCTCCTTCAGGGACCCTGCTTCGATGCTATTTGTCCCCACCGTCAGGGAGAGAAGCAGTGGCTGTTTTAGCCAGAAGCAGGGAAGGAGGACTTAGAGTCTGAAGTGAAGCTTATGAGCCCGGCTTGCCCAAACTTCAGCCAGAACCTTGATTTGGACAGGAAGACTGTGAACAAATGGGAAGTGGGAGGAGAAGCAAGGGGCGGGGGGCAGTGTCACCTGAAAAAGAACTTCTTCTCAAAAAACAAAGTTTACAGTCAGTATGAATTTGTCGATTTAATGTAGTATAGGACACATATGGTTTATATTATACAATCTGCCTTCACACGTGTACAGAAACCCATCTGTTATGTTCATTGCAATATGCTCGGTGCCCAACCCAGGGTCTGGCTATAGTCAGTGCTCAATAAGCATATAAAAAAATGAATGAAAATATGGATGGATAGAATGAAACCTGGGTCAGAAAACCTACATTTTAGCTTTTAGCTCCATGGCTCGCTGTGACCCTTGGGCAAGTCACTTTGGCTCCATAAGCCTCAGTATTTGTAAAATAAATACCGTGCTAGTTTCTATTTCAAGGGCTTCGAAATCATAGAGTTCAGGCTGGGTAATGGTGGCTTAAACACCGAATACCAAGCTGACAATTGTGTTCTTCCAAAGTACACTAGATTACTGGGTTTAGCAATCTATTCAAGGGGCCTTGCCAAACCAAGGCCAAAGGAAAGCCAGAAATATGGTTCTAGGACTGGTAATTAAACATGAAAGAGCCTGTAAAGCTGATTGGAGGAATGTACCATCTAGGAGGGTGCAACAAAGCAGGCATGCGTAAGAGATTCTCTCTCTCCTAGGGGTTCTTCAGCCTTGCCCATTCTGGGGATCAGTTAGCATTAGCTGGAGCACAGATAAAGTCTGAGAGGTTATAGGTCATCTAGTCCACACTCCTCCCTAACCTTCTAAAGGTAAGAAGATAATTGCCCAGTGAGGGGGTGGTTAAGGCTGAGTGACAAGGTTCAGGAATTCTAGTCCCAGCTCACTGCACCACATTCAAGAGGGAGGGTATGCAAGGATGGGTTTTAAGAGAAACAGATTAGGCCAGGGAAAGAATGCCTCCACATAGCAATGGTTTAAAAGGGCTTAAAAATAGGAGCCATCTAGATAAAGAAGAAAGAAAGGTTAAAAAAGAATTGCTTACACCTATATGGATTACGTTTCAAAGCTATTTCACAAGGAGTAGCTTGTTCAATGTGTCGTTTTGAGGTGGAGCATTACTGATGCGGCGTCACAAAGCCTAATTTTCATCACCCAGCTCTGTCAT